TTTTTTTTTTTTTGGGGTTTTTTTTTTTTTTTTTTTTTTTTTTTTTTGGGGGGGGGAAGGGGACTTGACACAGGATATAATGGACAAAGAGAATTGAGTGGGTGAATGTTTCATCTGCAGGTGGAGTTTTATTTTTTAAGAGGTAGAGTTAGATTGCATGCTTAGTGGTCATGGAGTAGACAGATGGTGGTCTGCGTGGTTGTTGGACAGCTGGTGGTGGTCTAAGTGGGTGCTCATAGACTCTGGACTATATTTCTATAGATATAGGAGCACGAGTGTGGAGGATAAATATGCAACAAACTAGTTCTGCCAAGGACAACATGGCAAAATTGCTGTGTATTTTTTTTTTTTCAGAAAATCTAAAGGGTGTCTCTGTAATTATACAGATTCACGCAACCCATCCAAGCTAAACAATTAACCCTGGATTACGAAAAGCTAAAGAACAATTGAGATGTACGTATAGCAATAATCAACCTTAAAACCATCAGTTTATCTACCCTAACTAATATGCATTTGACTTATTACATGGCTGTCCATGGGTAATCATCTTTAATGCATAAAATTCCAATATTAGAGGGGCAAAGTGAATGGAAATGAATGCTACAGACTGAACCGTATGGAAGATTCGCATAATCAATCGGACGAGGAGGGAAGAGAAAATAAAGTATCAACTTTTAGGAATGAAACCTACAAGAGAGCAAATAAGTTTGCATCATACCTAAAAGATCCAAGAGGATAATTTGCCTAGTCGAAAGAGAACAAGATTAATCTCACCAAATCCTTTACCAACTAGTTGGGTTTGGCTAGATTCTAAACATACACACAAATCTAGAGAGAGAGTGAGAGAGATCTTACGTATAATGTATAATTCAATTTTCCAATTGTATGCCGGCCGCCTTAAATGAGGAATCCTTACTGTAGGATCGCCATAAGTTATCTATAAATAGCAATTTGGCATGTCATGACATTTGAGCTGTAAAAAATTTAAAGGGAAAAGTTGAAGAACAAGCTTGATCTTCAAGTGTATGGTTACCAACATATAGATTCCTCCCGGTTTGAGAAGCCTGCAACGTAAAGAAAAAAAACTTCTGTTGAATGCATAACTTGCGATAAGTGGGAAAACCCCCAACAAATTACCAGAAATATGGACCATATAACTTCTATGACAAATCACAATCAACGGAAAGCTTTAAAAGCTCATAAACCTGCTCACTTCGCCCAGCATTTGAGCAGCACTAATTGGAGCACCAGCACCGCACTTAAAAAGCATAAGCATGCATGAAAAGATTAGAATATCAAAAACATCAACTGTGGAATATAAGAGGAAAAACAAAAGGCAGCTTACCATCAATGAATCAAGAGTTCCTAGAATGGAGATCAGTGATCATGCATGCAGATCCAAGGGGGAAAAAATCCATTAAATTATAAACATTTTTATTTCAACAATGTGTGAATTTGAAGAAGCATGCAATGAAAGGACAAAGGCATACCTTTATCAATGACACTATCGAATGATTCATCCACAAAGAAGCTCATATCCCTCACATCCATTTGCATGTCTTCAGTTTCATAAAGGAAACACTTCACAGAACCTAAATAGTTTTTTCACAAAGAAAACAAAAAAACAATTTAAGCTAGACAGGATACATTCAAGCTGAGGAAGGTGCTCATACTTCCTTCTCATCATGTCAATAGCCACTGATGAAATGTCGATGTTTATTATTTCTTCATACCCATCCTTAACCATGTCCTCTGACATAACTGCAAAGAAATTTTTTTACCTTCTTGTAAGATCTGTCAACTGTTGCGATGCTCAAAAGAAAAAGTACAGGGAAAGTCCATTGCAAATATCAAATCTAATCATTTAGGTGATGCATTGTAATTGGCATAACTGGGTTTTTTTCCCTATTTTCTAACAAGGAAAGGATGCGATACCTATTGTCAAAAACCAGATGCTAAGCATGCAAAAAGCATCAACACACCAGATCATTGTGTTAGGATTACATTATTCATGTGCATTAATTCTCCACTTAGTGCACCATAAAAACAAACCATCTGTAGAGCGTTCCCCTTATAATCATCAACTTAACTCGACAAAATCTTGTCCCAATATTTTTGAATATTCTACATAAATCTTACTTCATCATTATATGTTATTAAAGGTCATAATTTCTTGTTAAATCATAAATTATCGTGTATTCCTTATTGTTTCATTTAAAAATAATTTTGATCTTCCTCCATCCCTTTGTTTACAAGTGTCATAGTAGCACGCTGTCTAGAAATATGTCTAAATCAGCTAAGTCAGTTCTCCCTTAATTTATCTATTATATGTTCTACCTCTACTTTTTCACGAATAATTCTCATTCTTAATTCGAACATGCAGGTTCTTAATTGCCCAAAGCTCAGTACCACAAAGCATAGTAGAGCTTATGACCGTTAGAACTTTCTTTTTATCTTTAAGAGTATATGTCTATCACACAATACACCAGATCTATTCCTCCATTTAGTCCATTGTGCCTCAATTCAATGAGTCAAATTGTCTCCAATCTCGCACTCTCTATTCATTCATCCTAGAATCATCTGGTAACAATTTTTACCCCTAAATCTCAAAAATTATCATAAAAAGGGCTCATTTCTATTTTGGTTCCCTGTCCAAGGGTGCTGGGAGGGGTTGGGCAGATGCACAATCTAACCTTTAAAATTATTTGCACAAGTTGATCATCTCTCCAAACAAACATAAGAACCTTGCAGAAATTAGCCCAAGCCAGTGCCATCCAAATTGAACTACAGTTTGAATTCCATCCATTCTAAACATTAGAAATCTTAAAATTTCTCTTCTTGATCTTTTTTCAGAATTCTTGCCTTTCTAGTCAAATACTTAGATTTCAATCACAACAGAAGGGTAGTTTTCAAAAAACAACTGCTAGTTTCTTCCCAAAATACGTAACCCAAATGATGCACTAGTAACTTTCAGTTCATAGTGTGAGCTATCAAGTAGAGATGGTGAGTTGTTAGAATCAGATTTCCAAGTCAGGTTTAAATATTGGAATTTTATACAGAGCAAACAAATCAAATCTACCAGATAGAGCCACAAAATCTGGATGCTTCATCTCAAAGGAAATTTCCAATTTTTTCTACTGGAATCACATTATATTCTTTGAATATTAGTAACATTATCTGACTAACTATGGTATTCGTGAGTTAAAAATTACCAACATAGAAGAATTAGTTAAAAACTTATGGTGAGAAGTGTTCTCTCAAACTACTCTGATNCTGGAATCACATTATATTCTTTGAATATTAGTAACATTATCTGACTAACTATGGTACTCGTGAGTTAAAAATTACCAACATAGAAGAATTAGTTAAAAACTTATGGTGAGAAGTGTTCTCTCAAACTACTCTGATTCGGATACAAGAATGTTATTTTGCTTAAGAAATGCTCACAAACTCCAAAACAATAAATTCTATTATAGAAAGTAGAACCACACACCCACCATTGTGATTTGAGCATAACACCCACGAATGTTGAAATCATAATGAAAGACATACAGTATTGCCAGTCCTAGCAAACTTTTTCCAACCCAAACAAGGGCATGGAGGTCAAAATAGGAGTTTCCTTACAGCATCCAACTTCACTTAGGAAACCCACTTTCGAACGTTTATTATAATTACTATTAGCATAGGAATCACATTGCTTTTTGTTTTTCTCAATTCTAGAAGAAAAATAAAAACATAGAAAAGTAGAGAAGAAGCTAAAAGAAAAAGAAACGGACAAAACCACCAAAATTCTCCTCTTTATTGCCAAGAAACCCACAGGCAAATATGAAATGAAAGGCCAATTCCTCATATGTTTCACTGTTTTGGTTTCGATAGGATTAAACAATCAGCTTTACATAGTCATATACAGTATTTTGACCACGTTAAATGAACCTTCAAAATTTTCAGAAACTAAACAACATAACCAGATAGGAGACCCCAAATTCTTCTCTTTCCACTGCAAAATTTTTCTCAACAGCCAAACAGGGCCTACGGAAAAAGAAAATTCCTATTTTTCGTAAATTAATTCCACTACTAATCGATAAATACAGAATAAGGTAAAGGGATTTCTTCATATTTTCACTATTTTCCATTGTTTTCATTTCCAAGAACATTAATAGGAGAAAATCCCCAAATTTCTATCACATTTCCCTCAAATTTCTCACATACCAAACAGAACCCAATTCAATAAACAAAGAGAAAACAAGCAACTAAACCAGAATCAGATGATCCATTCCCAACTTCACACATCTTGAAAATACTGAATCGAATCCGAAATACGAAATAAGACACGGCGTGATGCGAAATTACCGGCATTTCCACAGCCGACCATAAGAATGCGCGAAGATGTGGGGACGTATTTACGAACAAAGGGTCGTAGGGCTGAGTAACGCTGGTACCAGTCGAAGGAACCAGCGGCGGCCTCTTGGATGTAGCGGGCGTCCCAGTAAAGAGCCTCACCGTAGTTGTATGTGTTCATCCCCGTCACGTCCCTGTGCATTTTTGTTGAATTGTTGCCTTTTGTGTGGTGGTTGGCGGCGGCGGTGGCGGTGGCCGCGGTGGTGGTTTGTTTTGTACTAGTTCTGGGTGGGGTTAGGTTGGGGAAGGGAACCAAGGGAAAGGAAGTGAAGTTTACTCGTGGTTTGGGTCGGATGTTTTGGAGTTGAGTGGGTCACACTGTTTGGTAGCCACAGAATTAGAAGGTGATCTTCGGGTCGGGTTGTTTTTTTTTTATTTTTTTTTTATTTTTAAAATCTATAATTATTTTGAATCATAAGTACTAGAAGTTTCTGTTCTAATAACCGAGTAATTTAAATTGGACTATAAATTCAAGTCCATTAGAATTTTTTCAAAAAATTTGGGATGCATTTAGCATTTTCAGCCCCATTAAAATATTCTAAAAGATTTAGTGGTATTTATGTATTTTAAATTAAATGTGGGATTTCTGTTAATAGACTTACCGGTTGAGGGGGGGGGGGTGGGGGTCGCCTGCCTCANTGATTGCTTAAATTGAAACCAAAGCTAAATGGGTGTTGACTGGAATTCTTCATGTAGGGAAATATCGTATCGTGGCTTTTGTAATCGAGAGCTCCATAAGCGTCTCCTCTTCATGTGTAGAGTCGGTCAGGAATCCAGATATTTCACGAGATGTTTATTTTTTTGACGTGGAGAGACTTAGCATTAGTCCAGTTCTGTTCTGATCTGATCTACTAAAACAACTCAAGTACCCCACAAAAAATTGATAATGCACACCCCTTGTTAAATAAACACAAATTTGGGACTTACTCGACATAAAAGAAAAAGATTAAACGCGAAATGCCACCGGTGATTGTTGCCCCAAGGATGGACGATATTTACATTATTACAAAGGGTGGAATTACACTTCTTATTTGTAAGGCTATATTTTAGCTATCAAAGTCCACGTGTTATGTCTCAATAGTATTTTCTTATCTTTTTAAGATATTATTCTTCTGTGGGTATGTTTAGGTAATTAATTTGAGGACTTCAATATTACTTCGTTTGCCAACGGGAAAACCTTTTGCAAAAACGGTGTAACTTTTTATACTTATTAATAGATTTATCAACGGATTGAATTTGAATTAGACTTTGATTGATCCAAATTCGAATCCGATTATAAAAGTTAAATTCGATAATTTGACAAATTTTATTTTCATGGTTTATATATGAACCAATTAACAATCCAAAAATTCAATCTTAATAACTTAATTAATTAAATTTTAATAAATTATACCTAAATTTCTTTAAAGAATTACTTAATTTTATTAATATTTATATAGAAATTGATGTAGAACATGTGGGGGTTGATTACTTGGAGCCAAAAAACCGTTATGCCTCCTAGGCTCCAAGAAAAGTGAAAAAGTGATAGTAGAGATAAAATGGCTTGGACTCAAAATTAATTGAGCCTATTGGTGTTTAATTCGAATTGGACTAACGATTTAGACTCATTACTTTGTCATGAGCTCCTTCAGTTTCGAGTCGAATTTCATCGTTTAGGCCTTAAAAATCCCGTTTTTGTTGTTTTATGAAAGAATTCAAAAATTAAAAATAAATTATAAGAGATTCCGAATTTAGTGTCGTTAGTTGAGTTGAACTTCAGACGACGCTTGTGTTTATATTAATTAGATAGATTGCAATTTTCTGCTTTTAGAGACAATTAGAGTTTGACCATTCCTATAAATATTTTCTTTATTCATTAAATAATATACATTTTTAAAATTTATTCACGTATTATTTTTTTTTTGTGAATTCATAGTACCTTTATTTTATATACTTAGAATCATAGTTTTCTTTGTATTCCTTTGTTCCGATGTAGCAGAAATATATAAATAATTTAAATTAAATCATAATCGAATCATATATAGGTCTATCTAACTCTAAATCCGTGATATATAAATTATCGAATATAAATTCAAATTCAAATTTTTAATAAAAAAATATCAATCTATATCCGATTAATCAAATTTAAATTCATAACAAAATTCAATTCATTGTCAGCCTACTTATAAGGGAACTAGGAATAACCTGTGTTTGAAGGTACGGTGCAACTAAAAAAAATTAAATATTGAATTTGAATGCAAAATATTCAAGTATTGAACTCGAACATGTACTAAACTGAAAACCTAAACTGCTCTATACCACGTATCTGAAGGCACTGTATATAGTCCTTAAACACAAAATAATCAAACAATGAATATAAACAGTGAAATAAAAAGGGTCAAAGTTGGTACATGAAGGATTGTAATTTTTAATGTCATGTCTTTAATGAAATAAAAAATGTCAAAATATAAAAAATAGGAGAGCTTGGGATGGGGGGGTTGTCTGTGTGTGTGCGCAAAGAAAGAGAGAGAGAAGTAGAGAAAAGGGATACCTGATTGTGGCGGTGTCGCTGGCGGTGACGTCGCTAGAGGTGGTTTAACACAGTGTTTTGTGTTGAGAGAGAGTGGAAGGGAGGGCGTGAAGGGAAGGCAGAGACAAAGAAAGAAAAAAAAATTAAAAGATGTCTGACAGGACCTGACAGGCGTAGTACTTCTTACGTGTGTCAGGTGATTTTGTGCAGGTGAGGGACAATATAACTTTAAGAGGGAGGTGNGTACTTCTTACGTGTGTCAGGTGATTGTGTGCAGGTGAGGGGCAATATAACTTTAAGAGGGAGGTGATGGATGTGATAATATAATTTTGAAAGAGAAAAATATATGTCTCTTCTATTTTATAATATAGATTTATTGAGTCTCTTACAGAAATTTGAAGTTTGACTGCCAGTTGTTGGAAGTGTTAGAACATAAATATATCAAAGAGCTGCCATCGCCTGGCTTTATATCAACTTGAGGTGTTTCTTGCGTATGCTCACACGTACTCTAAGCTCTTCCACTCTTAGAGCAACTTCAAGTTTCTATCTAAAATAATTATTTAAAATATATTTAAATATTATACTATCTACTTTAATTAATTAATTTTTAAATTTATTTTAACCACGTTATCTATTTTAACTAAATTTTAATAATAAAAATTAAAAAATAACAATTCAACTATATATTGTATAAATTTAATCAATTATGGGTTATTAGAATAAATATCATAAAAGATAGGCTACAAGAGTAAAAATCATAAAATACTTAAGAGATTTTGCTGGATTTTTTGAGAGTTTTGTTAATTTTTTTTGAGGAATTTTACTAGATTTTTGAGAGATTTTGTTGAATTTTATAAAAAATTTCCTGGATTTTGAGGGGAGAAAGAGAGACCATACCTGTTTTTGCGAAATGAAGTCTCTGCGATAATGAAGACGATGAAACCTCTACGATGAAGCCTGTGGACTTAGCTTATGTGGAGTTGACGATTTGATTCAGACGACGAAGCCTTCTGTGGACTGAAGACGATGAACACGATTAAGTCTTTTTTGGATTGAGTCTCTGTGACGAAACTTTTTAATTTCACAATCTAGTTGAGAAAGATAATCAACGAAGGAGACTGAAATTGGGGGTTTTGTTTGCACAAAAATACAAAAGTTAACTTCTTTGCCTCTCCCGGAATAGCCAGCCAAATAAAGATTATGAGAAATAATTAGTGTGATAGTTAGTCCAACAAGATTTAAAGACCGCTTCTGTAAAATAACTGAGAAGGACATTTTATTGAGGCCGTGGGAGTTGCTCTTAAACACCACACCCAGAGACAAGGAGAGGAGAGAGAAACACAGGCAACTCTGCGGACAACAAAAAGGAAGAACAAAAACATAGAGAACAGCAGCATGGGCTTCCTCTGATGGCACTGAATCATGTGTCAAGGCTGTGCAGGTCCGTGAAAGACTCCATTGATTTCTACACCAAGCTTCTCGGGTTCGTGGTGATCGAACGCCCTGAGGCGTTCGATTTTGACGGAGCGTGGCTGTTCAACTACGGCGTTGGGGTTCACTTGCTGCAGTCTAAGGGTGGAGAAGAGAGACTGCCTGAAGATATTGATCACTTGGACCCAATGGACAACCATGTCTCTTTTCAGGTCCCTTTGTACTCCTTTTGTGGTTTTATAATTACTCTTTTATAAGTGCTCTCTATATACTCTTTTTTCCTCAAATTTTCAGCTATTTCAGTTCTTTTAATTTGTCAATATGACATGAATAGAAAAATAGAGTATTGCAATTTGTACTTAATTTATTGAGCTAAGTAACGGTGAGAGGATGACTGTCAATTTAGTTTTGCGAATTAATTCAAATACAAATAATATTATGAGTAAATAATATTTTTAATTTCCAAAGTATGCGTAAAGTGTATATTTGATTTTTTATTTGTATTTATGTGATCTAGTATCAAACATCCGTTAAAAAATCGTTAACACCTCTAATCAGCGTGGAACCAAATAGACACAAATTAAGAATTTTAGGAACCAAATAGACACAAATTAAGAACTTTAGACACTAAATAAATATAAATTTTGGAGTGTGCCCACCCTATTTGTGCATACTTTAATTGTATTTTTCTGTTAAAATGATTTTAAGATAGATTAGAATATATGTTTCGTCATTTTTATTATGTTAAAACTCTCTTATATTGGTCTAGGTTTGCATATTTGTGATTTTTTGTTTTTGTTTTATGTTCTTAATATGGAATTGAAATGGGCTTATAATTTATTATTATTTTGTACAACTAGCATTTTTATTTCTCTCTAACTGATAATTATTATGTTTAATGTATTTGAGCTGGGTTTTAATTGTAATACTATGCTTGCTTTTTAAAATTTTGTTTAAAGTTTTTGTTATTTTGATACCTTTATTTTAATCTTAGAAGATAGTGTGTAAAATAAATTAAAAGTTAAAAATTATGAAAAATAAGTTGAGTAACTAAATGAATGATTAATGAATGACTTAAAAGTTTGATCTTATAAAATGATACTCTCGATGTCATAGATAATGAAATTATTATGTAATATTTTCGAACTCATTATGGCCAAGTGGAAAAAATATGATTAACCACACATTTTTTAAGAGTTGTAATTACTAATTATTATATTTTCAGGGTTTTTTTTTTTTTTTTTTACTTTAGGACTTTTTGTGTTAATAGATATTCATGTACTGAATATAATGTAGTAAATATAAATATATAACAAATTAAACAAATTAATAAACTTGTTCGGTTCAAGTTTGTCTTATCTTAAAATGAGTCAAGCTAGAATCCAATTTTAGAGTTCGTTTAACAAACTTAAGTGTGGTACTTTAAACTTTTTTGGTAGAAAAATTCCTTTTGTTCTTCTAATTTTTTTGGTAGAATAATTCAGTTTCCAAGTTTATCAGTCTCGTAAAAATTGAGCTCGTCTATATGAAACCCAATTCCACAAAGACTTCTAATCTAACTTGCATGCACTTACCAGAGTCATTTTTTCTCAATGAGACTTCTCCAACTGTTAGTATTAGTTGGGCATTTTGTAAAAAATTCTTATGAAAGATTTTATTAACGTCTAATTCATATCAAATTTTCCAGTGTTTTTCAGTGTGAGGATATGGAAGCAATGGAGCAGAGGTTAAAGGACATGAACATAAAATACATGAAAATAACTGTAGGAGAAGAGAATGAAATCGCGATCGACCAACTCTTCTTCAACGATCCGGATGGGTTCATGATTGAGATTTGTAACTGCAGGAATCTAAAGCTTGTTCCTGCAGGTTCATTTGGCCAAATCAAGCTTCCATTTGATCGACATAATCCACCCCTTGTGTCGTTGGGTAAGAAACTAACAATACCAATACCAATGTGGCTAAAGTCCAGAGTAACGATATACTAACTAAATTTGAAGCTCAAATGACATGACAGTTGATTATTTGAAGTTTTTATTAGGGCCCAAATGACATCATATCAATCAAAGAAGTCCAAGTCAACTGCCATGTCATTTAGGCTCCAAATTTGGTTATAAAATTTGGTCAGTCTAGCATTACACGTAGAATTTGGTTTCTCTTATGGTTTAAGAATTCCTAGTTACTGGAATTCTTCTTTGTTTGTGTGGTTTTCTTTCTCTGTTCTCTTTGTTTTTAGCCTATTGCTGTAGATTGAAGCTTGGACTGGGAAGTGGATAGCCATGAAGCCATGTTTTTGTGGATGACTGCTCAGCTCGAGTCCGGACTAGTCTCGTCCCATCTGGGCTGTTTGGCTGCCATATCCATAGGGTAGGATTCCATTCCCAAGGAGTGAGGCTGCCGCGCTTCGTGCTGTGAGTTGGTAGCTATGGACCAAGAGATCATTTGGATTCCATTAATAATGAGGATTCGGACTATCACACATTGATCAATTAAAGAGAGATTCAACCCCTTAGAAAGTTGGCGATACATTTATACAAAACTTTTACCCCGAGCACTACTAATGGTATGCAATTTCCTACTTGATAATAAAGGTTTATGTCAATATGTTTGAGGGTAGCCGAGAACGTCTTCAGAGAACCATCACCACGGATTAGTGTTATGTCATAATACCCCTCTGGTTGCTTTATGGGTACACTCAAATTAGACATGAGAAAGACTTGAGAAGAAAATGAAAAAAGGCAAGCAGTGTGTGAGTGTATGTGTTGTGTGATAACCATACCAGCTCACATGGACTGCAGTGGAAAAAATATTGGTTGTAACCGTTATATTATATCAGTAATATTATGTGGTATAATTGTTCACTAATAGGTATATAAGTTAGTAAATGATCTTTACTAAAACTCATAACAACCCAATAATATACTACACAACTATCTCGATGATAGGAAGTGGGTTTTATTTTATCTTTTTTGTTATTTTCTTATTAGATGATTACACTATGTCAACAATGTTGATATGGTATAACAGTTACACTAAATGTTTACTCGTAATGCAGAAGCATCACACTAGATAGATATAACATTGAGTCAACTTTAGATGTTAGATTTAAATCCTACCAAAATAACTAAATGAGTCAACTTTCTAGACAGTTTGCATCATGAGCCACAAAGACGACAAAAAGAAAGAAAAGATAAAAAAGTTGATAGCAGTAGAAGAACCAAGGATCAAAAGTTTCTTTTAGTGGATAGTTTATGTTAATTTGGAATGGAAATGTTTGAGAAATATTTGGGAGAAAGAATAGAAACAGAGAATAAATGTGAAAATTTGTTCTCAAACAATTTCAAAATATGAGTTGAAACATATCAAAATAACTCAAAATAAAGAAATTTACATATTCAATCATTGTTTCATTTTCGTATTCACGAAAATAGAAACGTTTTCATAAAAAAGAAATAAATTTTTAATTATTGAGAAAAACACAGAATATTTAAAAGCATTACACTTACTTGAAGAAGGTCAACATAAGATTTCCCTTCGAATTCAGTTGCTAGACTCTTTGATCAAATTTCACATGACGTTTTTCGACAATCAGTGAGATAGCAACACCTGAATGAATCACACTCCGACTTCTTGCAACATCAAAAAGGGTTAGAAAGGGGGCCAGATGTGTGTCAGTCAGTGTAAAAGAGAGATGATACAAATGCTACCATGGAAAGCTAGTTGCACATGCATACTTGAGGTCTAGCCTCTAGCCTTTAGGTTATTTATACCTTAAGGGATGCTGAGGTGGACACTTTCCAGTGATGTCTCAACTGACAGGTCTGGCAACCTTTTTAAGGTGAAATCCTCTCGTTAGCCTACGTGTGTGGTGGGGCAATCATGTCAGTGGTTGTCTCTGTAAAAGGTGTCCCCATTATAGAGTAACTTCGAGCCATGCATTTACTAAGCTTAGTGATAACTTGTATTCAATTGAGGGTTAATATTGCAATAATGACTCTATTCAAGATCAAGCATTAATTGATTGTGCTTCTCAAGGTATCATCCAATTGGTCATCGTGTTCGAGGGTCATACCACTGACAATATTGATGAGATTTCATGTTCGTCCTCATGTAGGGATGACAGCATAGTGAGTGCACGGGGTGAATTCTTGCAATGAATAAAAATAACGATCCACTGGATAATGAACCTGAGACAATAAAAAAGTTAGGAAAGGGGCCAGGTGAATACCCCCATCTTTTCAACTTCGAAGCTCAAGTCAGTTGGCATTGGAGACATTAGCATAATGTATTTTTTGGATTTAGTTTGCGTACCTTTATTTATTTTTTTGAGGGGTATTTATACTTGAGCTAGTAATGATTGCAAGACCTTTGAGTCTCATTTGCACATTTAATGGCTTGCACTCGCATCCATGCGTAATTAGTGATGTCCCATCAAATCCTCTCAAGACCGATTCACTTGGGCGATCGAAACCATGCTCGACACCTGTCGAGCCTTAATGACCCTATCTCTGATAATTAAATACCACTACTCGGTGCTCGACACCTACACCCGAGCGCTCATCGCTCAAGAATAAGCACCTCTTAGGTTTTGTTGAGGACAGAAGGTTGGCGTCTTTGTAATTAATGCTTTGTATTGATGATGACCCTCAAACTTATCGAGGACCTAGATGCGCATTTAATGAGTTGTAGCCATTCATGACCCTATTTAATGAGTTATCATATCTTATTTAATGCCAAGTCCTGACAGGTGTACTTAGCCTCCCCAGGCTTTAACTCGGCGCCACCTCCAAACGCCCTTTGCGCTCTGCATCGGCTACAATGATCCATGTGTCGACTTTGCAGCTATTAAACCGCCTAGAGTCCCATCAGCGAGCATTCTCATTCCCTTGTCTTATCCATCAATTTAAATGACATATGTGGGTCTCGTCATTTGTAAGAGATTGTTGAAGTGCTCGGGCCCAGGACACATCTCATTGGGATACTTCATAAGTCAGTAACTCCAAGTATGCTTCTTGCCTTGTACATGTTCAGGGGATGACATGTAAGTGGTGGGTCCTACCTTGGTCTCGTGTCCTCTATATCCATGCCCCACTAAGAAAATGGCCAAGAACTTGTCAAAGGGTTTAGATCCCATGTTGGTTGTCGGATGATCGGAGTAAACTTCTGGCACTTGTCACATTTCTGAACATATCGCTTGGCATTCTTCTGCATGTACGACCATCAAATACCCTTAAGACATCGCACGATGTGCGAGGGATCTTCGTCCCGTGTGACTCCCACATATTCTCTCGTGAACCTCATACAATAGTGATTTCACCTTATTCTTGGGAACACAAAGCAGATACGGTCGCGAGAAAGATCTCTGATATAGCTCGTGATCGGGGGATATCCAAAATCTGGGACCTTTTAGCTTGACCTTCCTGGCTTCTTTGGGATCTTTTGAGAGCGTTCCGTTCATTAAGGACTCAATTATGGGGTCCTTCCAGCACGGTGGCATACTCTGAGCGCTCGTCAGCAGGACCTCCTCGGCATTTAAGTTCCTTATGCTCGGACTCTCGAGGTAGTCGATGATGATGAGTCAAGTTACTTCTGAAGCCAAGGCCGAGGCTAGGCAAGCTAATACATCGTCATGGTTGTTGTGATCTTTGGAAATTTGGGACACCTCTATCTTTTGGAACCTCTCCATCTTTGACTTTGCTATGTGGTGATAGGCTTTCATCTGTCGTCCCCCTATTAACTTGATTTACCACCAATTGTGAATCGCATAAGATCTGGAGGTGCCTCACACCAACTGAGTACGCGATCTTGAGCCCAGCCAACAGCGTCTCGTACTCAGCCTCATTATTGGATGCTTTGAATCCAAGCCTAATAGGTCGTTCCACTGTAAATCCTTCAGAATAGGCCAAGACTACACCTATTCCTAACTCTCTTGCATTCGAGGAGTCATCCACATGCAAACTCCAAACGTCGTTGTGGCCAAAAGTTGTTGACTCCCCTTCTAGTGGAGACTCGGATACAGAAAACTCGGCGATGAAATTAGCAAGGATTTATTCTATCTCCACGACCCATTTGGACACTCGCCCAGACATATCTTCTTTGTAAAGTATGGACTTCAGGGGCCGATCGGTCAAGACCTCTATGAGATGCACTTGGAAGTAGTGCCAAAGTTTCCTAGCCAAGACGATGAAAGCTAGTATAAGCTTTTCCATCGACAAGTACCTAGTCTTGACATCAATCATGGTCTTACTTACATAATAGACCAGTCTCTACACCCCGTTGAACTCTTTTATCAGGGCCCCATTGATTGCCCACTCTGAGATAGACAGGTAGAGGTGTAGGACATTGCCCGTCGCCGGAATCGATAAGGTCAGAGGAGACCTTAAATACTCCTTGATTCCCTCTAGTGCCCGATTGCGTTCTTCACCTCAGGATCCTTTCGTTGCCCTCTTAAGCATGATGAAGAATGACTTGCACTTGTCCGGGAACTTAAAAATAAAATGGTTGAGAGTTTCCAGTATTTCGGTTAATTTTTGTATGTCCTTGACAGTCTTTGGCTTCTGTATCCTTTACACAACCTGTACTTGATCAAGATTGGCCTCTATACTGTGATGAGTGGCTAGATATCTCAAGAATTTGCTTGAACTGACCCCGAAAGCACATTTCGAAGCGTTGAGCTTCAGGCCATATTTTGGGAGCAGGGCGAAGGTTACTTTAAGATCCCGAAAATGGTCAGCTTTCACCTTGTTTTTTACCAACATGTCATCAATGTATACCTCAATCGTGATGCCAAGCTGCTGCTTAAACATCGTATTTATCAGGCACTGATAAGTGGCACTAGCGTTTTTCAAGCCGAACGACATCACCGTGTAACAATAAATCCCTCGGGTATGATGAACATTGTTTTCTCCCGATTAGATTCATGCAATGAGATTTGATGGTAGCCTGCTTAGGCATCCATAAAAGAGATGCGCTCATGTCCCGTAGTGGCATCCACAAGTTGATCGACCTTTGACAAAGGGTATTCATATTTGGGGTATGCCTTGTTCAGATCTGTAAAATCCATGCAAACTCGCAACTTTCTGCCTTTCTTCTTTGCACACACTGTATTTGACAGCCACTTGAGGAACTAGACTTCCCTAATTGATTCGGCTCTGAGCAACATGTCTACTTCCTCATCAACCACTTGTTTATGGTGAGAAGCTATCCTCCGAGCCTTTTGTTTTACTAGTTTGAAAGCAAGATCAACGTGAAGTCGATGGCACATCACCTCGGGATTTATTCCCGTCATCTCGGTGGGGGCCCATGCAAAGACGTCGGCGTTCTCACAATAGAAGTTTACCATCTCAGACCTCTCGGTACCGACCAGTGATACCCCAACTAGGGAAAATCTTTCTTCGTCCTCGAGATTCAAAAAA